CTTGCGTGCCACTCTCTCCCCTTGTGTGTGTGTGTGTGTGTGTGTGTGTGTGTGTGTGTGTGTGCGTGCGTGCGTGTGTGTACACCTGAGTCACATATCTGGTGGACATGGTACGGAACAGTTCACAGAATGTATGGTTGTGAATGATAAAGAACAAGAGACAGCAAAGTATAGAGACAAAAGGGAGGGAGGCAATTGACTGTCTACTTCTCTTATGCTAGTGAAGAGAGTACCACGCAAGGACACCGCTTATTTTCCACATGCTGATTTGAGTGTGCAGCTTACCTGCCTGTATATATGTTGATGCTGTGCCTCCCCTCCCATTGTATGGTTGTGAATGATAAAGAACAAGAGACAGCAAAGTACAGAGACAAAAGGGAGGGAGGCAACTGACTGTCTACTTCTCTTACGCTAGTGGAGAGAGTACCACGCAAGGACACTGCTTATTCTCCACATGCTGATTTGAGTGTGCAGCTTACCTGCCCGTATATATATTGATGCTGTGCCTCCCATTTTCAATCATGTATATATGATTGAAAATGGGAGGCACAACATCAATAGTCCATATATGAAATGGAGGAAGGTTGCTGTACTTGGAGTTTATCTACACTATATATACAGGCAGGTAAGCTGCATCAATACTCAGTTCATATATGAAATGGAAGAAAGTTGCTGTACTTGGAGTTTATCTACACTAGGGACCCATCCAGATAAATTGTTGTTTTGGAACTCTGGTCCCTTTCCTTCATTCATCCTTCATTTACTGGAATTGGTACTGGAATTGGTACAGTACTGTAAAACAGCTCCCCAAATATCTCACTTTCTTTGAAAGCTTGCAAAAAAAAAAAAAACACCCACTCCCATTTTGACAGCCAAAGGGTGCCCTGTTCCATTCTGAGGAGAACACTCCCACAGCTGACATCACAGCTGATAGCAGGGGGAGTTTTAATTGTACACAACCCCATAAGGTTATCTAAGTAACCCATCAAACTACAAATCCTAAGAGTCTGTAGTATGGAGCTATAGCAGCTAAAGTGGAATTGAATTGCTTTAACTTTAAGGTAGAATGATACCATTCATTAGGCCAATTCTATTCAAATTTCAGTTGTTCACTTTAGGCAATCACATGTCACTATATAGTTTTTTATTATTGACTGTTTTTATTATTGACTATGACCTTGCTTAGCATGTTATGCAGTTATCAGATAGCTTGCTAATGAAATACAGTGATTGATTCACCTTGATCATGTGAAGTCTTTGAATATATGAAAATTAATCCCATTAACATTTTTCCTTTTTCTGTCCTTTACTGTTCACCATGTCCCATACATTTGTATGATCAATTGCTTCTAACCTTTCTCCCCTGTTTCCTAACACCCACATGGGTTCTTTTAGTGAACAGTAGCTAGTGTGCTGGGCTTCTTAAAGAAACACCCTTCTGGTCTTTGTATTGCAACCTGCTTACACATAGCAATCTTCCCCACTTCATTCCTTCCTCCCATCTTTCCCTTTGCTGTGGCATTGCCAGTATCTGGAAATCAAGACTGAAAACCTTCTCCATGCCCTTCCAGGTAAAACAAAATACAGCTGAGCCTTCAGTTTGTCTTTTCCTCTGTGCATGCATGGGAAGATCATCTCTCATCCTTTCCTGCTCAGCTGTTCTAGTACTGCCTTACTTGTTCTAGTACTGCCTCACAAAAGCAGTCCCCAGCGTTGCAAGCAAGCAAAGAAACAAACAAATAAAAACCTCCTGTTAGCCGCAGAAAGAGTCAGCTTTCTATATCTTGGATGACATAAACACAGCCTGACCTGCCTCAAGACCAAGCCTGGTATCTTTCATAAAAGCAGGGCAGAAAATAAATTCTGTTTCCTGTAGCTCTTGCAACCAGTCTCAGAATGGGCACATGATCAGGAGCCTGGTGGGAGTGGATGGTGCGTTTATGGGATTTCCCTTCCATTCTGTATTTAGGATGCCAAGCTTAGGTGTTTGGAAGTATGGTCTCGACTTATAAAGCATGAATCTGCATGAAGTTTGTCTATGCTTATTCTACAATATGTGAGACAATTGATCTGAGTCCATCAAAAATAGATCTAGGGGTGCAACCTTGATCTAGCACTGCCTTTGCCCAGACTATTTTGGTTGCCTGAAGCAACAATATCCCACTCCAATTCCACATTTTTTTTTATTTTAAAAAGGTAAAGCTAGATTGGTATTTAAATCTTTCTAGCTGTAGGCTAGTCTAGAGGCTGCCCAACACACACTACTTTGTCCTCCAGTGGGAGAAGGGCCAGGGGATGTTTTTGGGCTGCTGCCTGAGGTAGCTGCCTCATGATAGGGCTGGTCCTACAGGTCAATTTATCTAGAAGGCACACTGCTTCAAATGTAATGGTCACAGAGGAGGAATCTGGGTTGACATAGCTATTGCTCAGCTTAAATTGCTTCTCTGTTTTTGGTTAGGAAAGTTCCATTTGTTACCTGAGCTGTGTGTAGCTTCAAAGGTGATAGAAAAAAGAGGACTATGTTAATTAGTTTGGGTTTTTTTCCCCAGTGGAGGTGAAATGGCACTACTGAAACCACAACACCAGGAAGGGAATTTCAAGCAGCAGAAAGAAGGACAGTTGGGATTCATAATTGACAGGGTGACAGGTGCCCCTTTTGGAGATGGGGCCATCCGGTTGACAAGCTACCATCAGAAGACTGGTCAGGTAGGAAATAAATGTGTGCCTGTCTCCTTAAAGCCAACAGGTAATAGCTAGAGTCCCAGATCAGGAACTTGGATATCTGTGTTCAACATGCTTTGTAATTTTTCCAGGCTCTGCTTACTTGTGTTAGTTTCAGTGGTTTTGCAGTCTCCACGATTTGCTCAAATTTCACAACAACCTTGGCTTAGTGGTAAAATGCATATTTAAGTCAGAGCGCTAAAGGTCCTAGGCTCTATCACTGGAACATCCAGACAGGCCTGGAAAAGACTTGTGTCTTAAATCTTACAGAACTACTGCCAGCCACAGCAATGCCAGTCCCCTGAGACTTTCCCCAGACTGTAATGTCTCATAATTCAGTTGACATACACAAGACCACATGGAACTGCTCGCAGGGTTTAAGAGGGCTCTAGGAAGTTTGCTTCTGGTTTTGAAGAAGTCATACACAAAAACACAAAACAAGAGCCTCCATTTTTCTTTCCTGGAAACTTCAAAAGTGACTCCTATTTTGCCCAGCTAGTTTTGAGTGAGAGTCATATACAGTATTACAAGGCTAGGTAGACGATCCCACATAGTATAAAGCCGCTTCCTACATTCCACTAGCCAGGTTAGGTAAGAGTTTATGCATTGTAGAAGGATTACTGGGACTGGGAGAGACCTGAGGGAAAATTTTGTATACCGTTGTACCCGTAACAGAGCCTTCTTTACAGATCACAGCCTCTTAACTGATTAACGATAGTGTGTGGGGGTTAATTTGGGACATCTGGAATGGGTATCCAACAAACAGCAACAGAGCAAGGACAGAGTTCCTACTCCAGTCCTCTGAAGATGCTGGCCACAGAGACAAGCGAAACATCAGGAAGAACAACCTTCAGAACACAGCCAAAGAACCCAAAAAACCCACAACAACCATCAGATCCTGGTCGTGAAAGCCTTGGAGAATACATTGTCCCTTCTGGGTTTCATCAAACTGATAGGAGTCTGTAATACAACTAGTCTCTTAACAATGATTGTGGAATCTTAAATTCTCCTTTTCCTTCTCCTATCCCTCATTAGATATTTCCCCTTTTTACCAAAATTTAACAGAGTGCTGAATCTTTTTATAACAACAAAAATTTTGGGACATCTGGAATGGGTATCCAGAACCCATAGCCTACAATACTAGGACTGTATTATCTCTGCTCTTCAAAAATCTGCAGAACATATTGTTTAGATGACAACAAAAGGAAAGTTGAGGGAAACCTACTAGTTTTTTTCTAGACAAAAGGGGTCCATTTAGTAAAACCCATCTAGGTTACTAAGTAAGAAACTGCATAATGTGGCACATTTAAAAAAAACAAAACTCTCCTCCAGGTGGTCAGCACCCAGGACGCAGGTCTGAATTACTGCACTGATTCTGTCAGATCCAACATCAAAGATGGCTACTTCATATTTGGAGAACAGGAGGTACTACAGAGCGGTAACTTGAACAGAGAACATTATATTTGAAGTGAGAGCATTCAGGTTTACATCTTTGTTCAGTTGTTGAGTTCACTAGGGGTCCTTAGT